GAACCTCTGACTTAGCCTGAAATAGATCCAGTAACATTGTATCTGGAAAAAAAAAAAAAGGACAAAAATTGTTGTTCTGAATAACTTTGTGGTTGATCTCCCAAAATAGGCCCAACTGTTGCTAAAATTACAAAATGGGAACTGGGATTTCTCAACTTACTGTAAAGCCCTTCCAAGGTGATGACATATTAGCTTAGTATGCACCTCCTATCCTGCTCTCTGGCACAAAATCCATTTGCCATCAGCATCTTTTCTATTTTTTTTCATCTCCAGTTTAGTTCAGCTTTATTTATATACAGAAGGAGATTCGATTTACAGTCCTGAAGACCGCACCAAAACATCAACATATCACTATATCGCTACAACATAATGCAACACAAACATAAAACGTACAACTACTAATAAATCACTCAAAAGCGCAATGTTCTTGATTGTGTGCTACATCAGTGGTCCCCAAACCACCCGGTCTGTGTCAATTGGTACCGGGTACATGAGTTGTTGTTTTCCAAACCCAATCAGGTACATGTTACAAGTCAAGATTACCTCTTATCCGTTACCTTCTTAAAAGGTGTTACACGTTACAGCTAAATCGAAATGTAGGTAAAAACCGATAAAATGATTCTTGCAGGTATTACGTAATTTTGCTAATAACCGTCAACCGATATCATCGGACATCCCTAATTGCGACCGATCGGACTGGAAGTCCAATAACCTGTGACCGTGCGAGCTCTGGACAGTTCGCCAGTTCATCACAGGGCCACATACGAAATAGAAACGAACGACCAGTGTGAACGTTTGCCAGAATAAATAGCACAATTTCCCCATTGTGCGACAAATAAAGGACTTTCTAATCTTAATTTAAAAAAAAATAGGACTGGGTTCAACTCAGACACCTTGTTTGTTTTTATGGTGACAGTAAATTGAAATTGATATTGGATGTTATTGGATGTCATGAAATAATAATAATAATAATAATAATAAAGAGAAGACATAGCATAATTAGCATAATTGGAGTAACAGATATGATTTTTTTTCAATTTTATTTTAATGTCTGTATTGTCGTTTTACAACGAAACTGAGCCTCTGCTTTTAACCCATCACCAAGGGGAGCAGTGGGCAGATTTTAAGCGCCCAGGGAGTGAGGCAAAGTCGGGATCATTTGGATATTTGCTCAGGACTTTTGCCCCCCCGGCCACAGCAAGTAGGGCTTATAGTAATGGACAAAGGGATGTATTTTGAATCTGAATTTCCGAAGCAGTGGAAGAGGAATAGAACCCTTGAAGAAGAAGTGTGTAGTGAAGCAAGATAAAGTAAAAGTGAAAGCGAGCCCACTCTCGTCAATAACGTATTGTAAAGTGACCTTCAGCCATACGTTTTCTTTCAAATCCTTTTTTTTTTTTTTTTCAAATTACAAATACAACACGCAAATGTAGCCTCATCTTTGAACTGTGTTTGTAAAAATAAATGTTTATAATAATCTGAGAATAAAGACTTTAAATTAATTTAAAACCAAGTAGCCACTCATTCCAAAAGAAAATAACATTGAAATCATGGTAAATCATGAACTGATAAACGTATATATTGCCTTATAATGACCCATTGAAATCATGGTAAATCATGAACTGACAAACTTATATATTGTCTTATAATGACCCATAATAATAATAATAATGTAGATGGGGCCCATGGTACTTAAAATCAAACTTATCTTAATTAAAAATCAATACTACACACGGATTATGTAACTGGCTCTTAATCTTGTATGTCAATAACAAACAATAGTGTAACAAATATCAATTATAATTACATATATAATAAAGAGAGCTGTTATTTTGGTAGCTCATTAAGACACTGTCTTCAAATATCACACCTAAAACACACTCTTCTCTCACACAGGACATGAAACGATCAAAAAAAAAAAAAATTCCAAATAAGGTAGTAACGTTCCAATGTATCAACCCCCCCCCCCAAAAAAAAATCGTTTCAGGAGTGTTTTCTTGACTCTCACTTCTTTATAAGCAATCGAAATTGCAAATAAATAAATAAAAAATAAAAATTTCAGTTATACCAGTCCTTGTGGGAACGACGTGTTTTAATGAGTAGCAGCAGAGATGCGCATGTACTCCGGAGTAGACGATGGCCGATTCATCGAAACAAAGTAAACAAGTGAGCCAGTGTGCCGCAGGATCTGACTACTCCGACCGGCACAGAGCACTATGAAGTAGACGTCTTCTTCATTTCCAGATCGAAAGCATAAACTACGACGCAACGTGTTGAGGATGACTATTTCAACCCGTCGGTAACAAACACTCTTTGTCCTCCAGTCCCCCGTTACCATAACATAACATTACATAATATCCCATAAATAACTATGAACAAACGCCACAGTTTTTAACTGTTTTTCTGCATTTTTTTTCTTGCCGTGTATTGTACTGATGTATTCCTAGTGTTGTTTGTCAGCGGTGTTGGGCAAGTTCCATTTTGAAATTCAATGATAAATAACTCAGTTACTTTCATGCACATTATGCTTCCTAACCGTTCGCGGCAGAAATCGAGCACAGTCACAGTCTCCAACTCTACCCGGCAGAATGTACACATTGCGCATGCGCGCTACATCAGAGGGGGAAAAAATAAATGCAAAATCTGAAAATGTATTTTAAGGACATTGCACCGACGCAGAAAATAACTCAGCACCCCCACACGTTATAGTATAAACGCACTTATTACGTATCGTACACACGTTGTTTATTAAATGTTATTGTGCCCCTAAACACCTTAAATTATCAAGTGAACAGCCACCGAAGTTTTGATAGCATTGGTAGCTTTGAACAACCCGTCGAGATGCACAGTACGGCTAAATTCCACCAACTATATGAGGCAAAAATTAACATGTATATTTTAAAATCATTTCATAATTTGGATGTATCATATGAGACAGGTGTGGGAAAAAAACACACCTCCCTGCTGATACGTGTCTTTCTGTTCTAGCGATAGGCAGAAAAAATAAGTTTTTATTTGGTCATACTCACGTACGTTATTTTGATTAAGATTATGATTAATTATTATTACTCACGTACGTTATTTTGATTAAGATTGTGATTAATTATTATTAATTACAATCACGGTTAATCATGATTAGTCGAACGCACAGGACTGAGCAAAATTAGATGAAAAAATATTAAAAGACGCCAGAAGTAATGCTTAACGATTGAAAAAAAAAAGTGTCTTACCGTTGTCACTTTGATTCAAACAACATAATAGATCGACCATAACTGAACAACAATGCCTTCCGGTGCTTCACTGGTTTCTCCCCATCTTAAATATTAGCGTCAACACAGAAGGAGACTTCTGATTGGACAGAGCTCAAAGTCACGTAATCTGGGTTCCACCTGTTTTTCTTCGTCTAACATTCGATGAAAACTGTTCTAACACCAGTTCTGTTAGATTAGAGCAGTGGTTCTCAAACGTTTTATACTCCTGAGAAAACATTGAGTTTAAATGTTTATAAAGACGTTTATGTTTAAATGTTGTATTAATTCTGCGTGGTATGTTTTAGATTTATTTAATTGAAAATGTAAATGTGAAAATATGAATTTCCCCCGCGTATCGCTAGAGAGCGCTCGCGTACCACAGTTAGAGAACCACTGGATTAGAGTATTAAAACTGCCACAAACATGAAATACTATGCCTCTGTAGTCTTTTGAAATACAAAAAAGTTTAGACATTTAAATGAAGTTAAATATCTATAAAGCTGTTGTTTTATACATATATTTGAGATATTTCATAAATTCGCAGTAAAGAAATTAAAACCACTATATGCTTTTTTTTTTGTTTATTGTTTACATTTTCTTGAAATCCTTCTTATTTGCCATGATAACACAAGTTTTTTAGTTCTCGGCTTCATAATTTCTCTGTGCATTTCGAGTCTTTTTTTATTTTTTAAAATCCGTTAGTTGTTCTTACTCTTATTTATTAATATATTATATATTCTCTGTGGACGATTATTTAACATATGTTGTCAATATTACAGTAAATATTGTAGGACCCGCATTTCTTGTCTTCTCTGATCGATTATTTATTTTTGATTTGTTTGGTCTGGTTGTCACGGTGACACGTGATGTTTGGGTCACGTGAGTGCATAATATATTTCTAGCGATAAAAAAAAAATTACATAAATTAACATGTAATTCTTTCATCTTAACCAAGAGAAGATGCTTCTAGCTTCGAGTTTACTGAAGAACGTTTCTCAGAAGCTTCTCCTTTTTCGTATTTCGGCTTTGTAAACATTTCTATAAATAGTTAGCACTTTCTTTATTGACAGGCTGTATGAACAGGATCGTTGATCACCCATTTTATGTGTACATGTCAGAATGCAATGTTTTTAGAAAACCAGCAGAGGTCCCAAAACACAAATAGTGCCAACACAGCGTTAACACAATTAGGGAAATGTGCCATACACACACACACACACAATGATGCTATTTTAAGAACATTGCACAATTTTTGTGCATCATGGTTCCATGGATTTTGATGTTTATGACGTAGTTTTTAGTTAACATTAGCTCTAACTTGATGTTTACGAATGTAGCTTTGCTTAGTTACCCACAAGACACATCCAGTTAAATGGAGTTAACTTATATAAATCAAACCTCTCATTTTTGCAGAAGAGTTCTCTGTTGATAATATTTTTTTTTTTTTTTTGGTGCCATGGCTGTTTGGTGGTGAAGGGGGAAGTTCCCATCAGGAAAAAAAATGTTGCGCCTGTGCCATCTAGTGGCATTAACTGAAAATGCAGTTTGGTGCACTACAATGCAGAAAACGTCAAATTGAATTGTCTTTTGCCACAGTTACACAGAGTGCAATACAAATGCAGAAGGCCAATTTTGAGAAGCAAGTTTCTCTTAGCTTTGTAATAATTATATAATTTATTTATATTATCATTATACCTTTTCTGCCTTTTCCCTGCAATACCCACGTTTCCCCAATAGATGGCGTAGAAAATTATAAAAGCATTTTAGCCTTTATACATGACTTTTATATGTCATTTATCTTAGCTCACACCAACCCTCCACCCTCCAAAAGAATCAGATTTAGTATATACTGTAGTATAAAATGTGCACATGAAATTTTGAAGTGAAATGCATAGAGCCTGAAAATGCAATATATATATATGTATATATATATATATATGTATATATATATGTATATATATATGTATATATATGTATATATATATGTATATATATGTATATATATATGTATATATATGTATATATATATGTATATATATATATGTATATATGACCATTATATACATATATATATATATATGTATATATATGTATAACAACTCTAAATCTCAAAAAGAGGTGACCATTCGCTCGGCCGTGGCTATAAAATGGTGAATCAGAATTGCTTCGATCAACAATCCTCAGTAACCACTGAGTAATTCCAACTAGACCCGAGCCATCGTTCAATCCCTTTGTTTGTTTTTGTTGGAATATGAATGACTGGGCTGTAATGATAATGGATAGTGATGCATTACCCAGCGGACCATTGACAACGAGGCAATCAAAAGCAGGTGAGGCAGAGGGAGGAAGCACAGATGGAGAACTAAAATGGTCTCGCGGGCAGATGTTTATGGGCCATTATTTACAACAATTTAATCAGGACAGTTTCCTCGCCCTTGGCAATAGATCAGTCTGTAGTTCATGCCGCCTGCACCTCTCTTGCCGGTGGTCATCAATTTCCCTCTGCGAAAGACAGCGAGTGGGAGTAGACACAGGATGAGAAAGGTCAGAAAGAATTAAAAGGTTGCAATGCGGTGTTTTTGTTTTGTTTTTTTCCTAACTAACTCTAATTACACCCGTAGTTAATCATTGTTATTTAAAATACAAAGTTCTTGTAACAGAAACCCGTATTGAACCGACTTTTGCGACCTATACTTTGCTGCGACTTACATATTTAAAATATATCATTTCACGTTTCTTATTTTCACACCGACAGCCGCTAGAGGGCACTCTATGCTTGGGTACCAGTATCTGCTACTCCTGAAAGTACCACTGAAAATGTACATGTTCGTTATTTTTCACACTGACAGCCACTAGAGGGCACTGCGACTTATATATTTAAAATATATAGTTTCACGTTTGTTATTTTCACGCTGCCTGCCGCTAGAGGGCACTCTATGCTTGTGTACCAGTATCTGCTACTCCTGAAAGTACCACTGAAAATGTACATGTTCGTTATTTTTCACACCGACAGCCACTAGAGGGCACTGGTGCAACTTATACTCCGGGGAAATATGGTAGTTCTGTTTTTTTGTTTGTTTTTTGTTTGTTTTTGTTTTTAATATGGACTGACTGTTCTTTGACTGCTGTGAACCTGCCTTTTATCACATAATTTGAGTTAACCCGAATTGACGGCCATACATCAACAACTCCTGTGTGCTGTATCTCTAACTCTCTCTGGTGTTGCAAATTAATTCATGGCAGTCGGAAAAGGTCGTTTGAAGGTGAGATTAGCAGTATTCATAACCTGAAGAAAACAAAGAGTTCGAAGCCAAAGTAAACTGTATTAGAGGAATAGTAACGCATTCAGGGGCTAAAATGTAATTCGGTTTTCAATAAAATTTTCAGTTTTTTTTGACATGAGGATTGAGATGCACTTATCGGCAGGATGATTTTTCCTTTCCCTCCTTTAGTAGTGCTATGCTTTTGTCCCTCTAAAGCAAAATGGTTTCTAATTTCCCCCATCTGCTCAATTGATGTTTGTGCTAAGGTTAACAGCTTGTAAGACCTTGGTTTAAAAATATGTTTCCGGGCAACTGCTTGATTGACCACACTAAATCCTTCCCTTCGGTCTGCGTCGTCGTCAGCCTCACGGCTCGGCGGGGAATGGCTTAAGAAGATTGGGGTGGGTGGTATATGACCTAATCTGATAGCAAAACTCCAGGCCTTGATTTCCAGACCCCTATGTGATTAAAAGGCTCCCCCCCTTCTGCCTGACATTGTGACCTTAACCCACAGACCTCAGTGCTCAGGGGTCACTTAACCTTGAACCCAATTACAAGATAAGGTTACTTAAGTGTGACCCTCACTGTGCTCCTCACTCAGTTAATAGAACAGGGCTCGGGAAGAAAAGGACCAGCGCAGCTGATATGTCTCTCGGTTAATTCACCGGGTTGACAAAGGTCATGGGCAGCGGCCGTAAAAACACCACAGCACTTCAATTTCACACGCAAAATAAGAGTCAGCGAAACAATGTTCAAGCAGTAGCAAAATAGCAGCAGAGACAGCGTTGGGCCTCGCGTCTTGTCGGACGAGTTAATTTCATCTACTTTGCCCCTGTGCCCCTAATTATAAGAATTATAAACCTCTGAATAATAATAATAATAATAATAATAATTTAAAGTCAACTCGCTATCAACGTGGTTTAAAGGGAGGAACATTAAATACAGGAAATTGTGTTGGCCTGGCTGACTGGGGGGGGGGGGGGGGGGGGGGGGGGGGGAGGCGGGGGGGG